CTCCTACTGCTATATTGCACAGATGTTAAATGGAATGCAGGCTTTAAATTTGGTTTATGTTTTGGCCACCATGCAATGTACATTGTACAAAAATGTGCAGTTGATGTGACTTAATTTTTCTGAGTGGTAAAAGAAACAGTGTTCTCAGATCCAAAGCAGTATGAAGCGTTGCTGGTAAAACAAGGTCAGAACAAAATAAATGAAGTCAGACATTACAGTAGGGAGGGACTAACCTTGATTGATCATTAGTTGTGTCCCAATAGTATAGCCCGTGGATATAAGTAACTAGCTGTGAATAAATTGAGGCTGGGAATTAGAAGAAGGCTTCTAACCATCAGAGAGGTGAGGTCCTGGAACAGCCTCCCAATACGAGTGTTGGGAGCAAACAACCTAACCAGTTTTAAAATGGAGCTTGATAAATTTATCCATGGGATTATATGATGGGGTTGCCTGCAATCCCTGATGATCAAGGAAGTCCCTTCCAATCCTACGTAACTCACTGTGTATAAGCAGGGCCGGTTTGTCATGCCATAGACAGACCCCAGCGACTGCAGGACAAAGGGGCTGTTGGGGTTTTTAGCCATTCAGATCAGAGGTGAGACGGTCACAATTGGCCAGATGGCTCATGTGGACAACTTCAGTGATGTTGTGGCTGACTAGACCAAAGTTTGTGTGTCCAGCCTGTAACTCCTCCTCCTCACTGCCAGGTCGAGTGAGTTGGAGGGTGGGTAAATTACTCTCTGAAAGGAGAGTATGCATGCATCCGAAGAAGTGGGTATTCACCCACGAAAGCTCATGCTCCTATACGTCTGTTAGTCTATAAGGTGCCACAGTACTCTTTGCTGCTTTTACAGATCCAGACTAACACGGCTACCCCTTTGATCTCTGAAAGGAGAAATGATAACGCGTTTTTAACAGATTAATATGTGTTATATCCTCAGCCTGAGGGCTGATTTGGCTGGGGGATGGACTTGGTGTTTTAGTATGGGGCACTATTAGAAAATGGACATTTGTCTCCTTTTTTCCTTGTATATGTGGCATTCTCTGTATGCAATCTCGGGGAGCTCCCTGTCCCCAAAGGTTTTCAATCCAAATGGCAAAGACAGCAGCAACATTTTAGCAACTTAAGCTGCATGACAATTCCAAGCCATAGATTCCTTACTACCCACACTCAGGAAGATATAAACATAAAAGCAAAGATACCCACAAACGTGTTACATAGGTAAGGCAAGCAACATACAACACAGATAACTTTCCTAGACAGAGGATGGGTGGTGTGCTCCGAAAGAACATTTGGGGAGGTGACGGAGAGAGTTGACTGGTTTAGAAGAACTTTTTTTACCCCCATAGAATTTCAAAGTTATAATGCTTTGTGAAAGACTGCAATGAATGCCAAGCAGTTTCTTTACACATCTCAACTGAAGGAACTGACCTGAGGCTTGCTATCATCACAGCTAGTTGAGTGAGTTTAAATATGACCCTCAAGCACTAAGCTGCCTAGGAAGAGACGATGAAATATGCAGAAATACATCCGTTTTAACATGGTTCTTTCAAGACTGGCTGAAGCAACAAATGGATGGCAAATGAAATCAAAAACTAGATGGACTGTGTGCATCAGACTTTAGTCCACTTCAAGAAAAAAAAAGTTACATTTATGGATACGGTAAATCTACAAGCATCATTGAGATGCTTAAGTGGATAACAAAAATGGCAATGAGCAGAAGTAATGGCTAAGAGACCAGACAATATGTGGGACATCTAAAATACTAAGCAACTCTCTGATGGAGGGCAGTAGACATTCCATTTTTAATGGCACCAACTATACCACTTTAAAAAAAAAACAACAACCCCGAAATATAAAAACAACAAAGTGCTCATACACAAAATCATCTTGCTATGAACCTAGTGACCGAAAGCAGCAAGGGATTCCAAATGCATTTTAAAGGCAGTTATCTGTATATTAGAATCAGATAGATGCTCACGATAGTCAAGCTGTATCTATGTTTAGCATACTTGCACCAGCAACCTCTGCTGCAGGTTATATGCCTTTTTAGTAAAATTTCTTCTGGCACCAGAAATGCCCACCCAGCTTTTGAAGATAGTTATCAAATGGAGATGGGCATCTGAATGAGTGATCAAACCTGAATGGTTCACAAGCTTCAATGTGATTAGTTATTGCCATTTTCATCAAGTTTTAGACCAAAGGGGCCTCAAAAGCAAAGATGACTGTGAAATTTTCCTCTCTATTCTTGTGTAACAGCATTAGATAAAGTAAGAACCAAACGGCCTTTCTTAAAAAGCCAGAGAACACATCAGTTGTGCTGTTTATTTCTCTCTTGTACAATTTCACTTTTGTACTTTTGAATCATATTTGCACCAAGCAGATTCATCTCAAGCAGTATTCTAGATACCTGTCTTGATTGCCTTAGTCAAGTACTAGTGGACAAGTTATGTTCTCCTTCCCTATGAGTTTAAAAAAAGTTTTAAATAAATGTCTTATTGAAGGTCAACGAATGCTGCTCCTGTACTAAGCAGCTTTCAAATAGTATTCATCCTGTTCATCCACAGAACTGATACAGCATCTTCAGTGGCATTACTAGCTGCTTGTCAATGAACCTCAATCCCGTCCTGCATGGGCCACCCCCTATCTCTAAGGATGGAAGAATAATTTCATCTACTTCTCCAATGAGTCTTTAGCTCCTCTACTGAGAGTGCCAGCTGTGCTGGTGATTTTTGTGATGTGGACACCAGTCCATGAAGAACTAGATGTATGCCACAAACTCACTTCACTCAGGCACCCACCAATCATCAAATGGCATAAATATTACATCACAGCTGAACTCAGTTGGATGTGAACTAATGACCCTGACACTGAAAGCCATTGTATCCCTTTGCTAAACTCTTAAGCTACCCACCCAGTAATTCCATTTGTACTGTATATATTTTTAATACACATTCTTTTCTTACCAAGAAATCATAGTAATATTTGCTCCAGGCCAGAGTGAAATATTGTAACCAATGAAGAAAAGTTCCTATCAAGAAAGATGCTTTAAATAACATTATTCGAGTGTAAACTATCTGCAGGAAGGGAATATTTTGTGGAGGAGAAAAGAGTATGTACATTCACATCAGAAAAACAAATAATTGTGGTGAAACTAAGACATTGCTTTAGCTAAGCGTGTGTCAAAGTTTCCATTATAAATCCACGATTCAAGGTCTAACGACAAATCAACAGCCTAACACATGCTGCAGGTGGCCAGCTTCTATGACAGGCTTCTCTGAAAAGACTTGGGGGTGTGTGTGTGTGTGTGGAAAGGAATCTTTTCCCGAAGTCACAGAGCTTTCTGCAGCTGCTCCTGCAGTTTTAGGGCCGTGCAGTGTTATTTATTTATATTGTGCCATGGACAAACGTGGCACTTTGTTGACAAACAAGGATGCAGGGGAGGTAGGGGGTTCATTTCCTAGACTCACTGAAGTCAATGGGAGTTTTCCCACTGACTGTAATGGAGCCAAGAGCTCATTCAGAGCTCCTGCCAAGAAGAGCTTATAGTGTAAGTTAGAATGAAGACAACACAAGGCAACAAGCATGGGATGGTGTTGAGGGAGGGTAGGAGAGGGTTGGCAACAAGAAGATGATGTGTGGTAGCTTAGAGGAGTACTGTGGACCTCTTGAGGGTTTCACAGTTTTAAATAATTACTGATGTATGATAGGGGAAGTACTCAGGGGTTCCTGGCACACAGCCCCATGCTCATTCCTGGCACACAGACCCACAGTTTTATTTTAATGTGCATTTGTTTGTTTTAGAGCCTTAAACTGCAGAGGTTTTAGCACTGATATAATTTGAATGTAAAATAGAAATGTTGTGCACATTTATGGCACTGCATAAAACTTTTAATAGTACCAGTAATGTGAATAAGTCATAACATTTAAAACTCACCATTAAAATGCGTCTGTAGCTGTCCCTGTCGATGCCCCAAAGTTTGAGGTCTGTCTTGGCCTTGACAGTGGCAGCTCTTGGTGTTCCATAGATCAATGCAAGCTCCCCAAAGCTGCCTCCTTCTCCAATGCTGGTCACCCATTCTCCATTTACATAAACCTACAAAAGGAAGAGGGAAAAATAATCGGGGGACTTATCTGTGCTTTTTCCTTCTACTTCCAGTTACCTAAAAACCCATTCATAATTTCCTATCTATCTAAGTTGGATAGTGCTGGGAGGCACAGAAAGGAAACAGTAGCCTAACAGTTTCCTCGCTCGGTTACAAAAGAGGGTGACAACCTGCTTTGTGGACAGAATTTCAAGTCTTCTTGCTTCAGCACAATAATTGTATTTACTCTCTGAGTTTTCAGCTCCTGTGGTTAACTGGCATCAAGTTTTCCTTCCTTGTGTTCAGCACTCAGAGAATCGACAAGCAGAACTGTCACAACTTTGGCTTTTTATTAACACTGTCAAACTTGAAAGGAAGGAGATTTGTTAAAAACTGTAATGAGATTTGTCGGGAAGCGCTATAGCTGTGAACTGAAAACCAGAACAAAACAAGGAAAACATCTTCTGAAAGGGGAGATTTTTCTTTTTTAAGTTTATTCTCTTTATCAATTATCCAAGGATAGTTTTCAAAGTCTCCCATTGACTTAGTGGGTTACTGACTACTTTGGATTTGATAGCATGTAAATATAACTATCCTTTTCCTTCCACTCATGTACCAGCTCTATGGGTCTCCAGGACCCATAATTAATTTATTAAACTACCATTATGATCCTGCTGATGAAATGGATCAGATCCAAAGCTATTTTAGATCAGAAAATATTATTGATTGATGTAGTTATCGCACAACATTTTTACTGGGTGAAATACAACCCAGTACGGAGGGCCTACCCAAGTTCCTCTGCATCATGTAAGACCTTCACTTGAGTAGACAGGGTGTGGGCAGGGTCCCTACACTGCTATCCACTGACAGTACAGCTTCTGGGGCATTAAATTGCATTCAGAGAATGGGATTGATTGTGTATTTTGCAGCATGCATGTAGTTTTGTCACTATACACTGACATAAGGGGCATCCTTTTTAGGCTGTTAATGTGTTAAGAAGTTTAAAGAACAGCAGACACTGCATGCACATATCAAGTGCAGAATATATCCTAATGTATTATGGAGCAGTAACAATAGAAATCAATGAGACTGAACATTAGCGCTGTAACAGCTCTATAAAGAAAAATGTAATAAAAAAACCATACAATTATTCTGTACTCAAACAGGAAAAAAGAAAAAAGAAAACCAAAATAATTTCACATAACCTAGTGCAAATAATGGATTCATGCAATTTTTTAAATATAAATTAAGACCCTGTATTACTTAGGAATAAAAAAATAAGGTGTCTAATATGGGGCAAAATATATGGATATTTGGTCTTTTCCCTAAAAATAAAAATAAGTTTCAGTATATTTTGTGTGTGTGTGTGTGTGTGTATGTATATCTAATCTAATCTATCTATCTAACTCTTATGCTGAAAAGATGTCCCTTGTGCTAAAGCCCAAATCAATCTCAGTTTGTTTTGCCCAATACTCATTCAAGCCCTGATCCAGCTCCCATTGAGGCATTTCCACTGACTTCAATAGGAATTGGAACAAACCTTCAGGGCATGGGGCAGCTTAACTGATCAGAGACCTTGTATGAATGTAAGGCCTGCGTGGGATTTCTATTAGCCCTAATGCTGAACTATAGCTGAAGAGCCAGTGTTGTGGGTCTCTGTATTCCATTAGCCCTAATGCTGAACTATAGCTGAAGAGCCAGTGTTGTGGGTCTCTGTATTCCAGGAGCATCCTGGAGATCAAGGGATAGAAGCAAAAGGTAAAAAATAAACCAAAATAGGCAGGCAGTAACCAAGCCATGAATGCAAGCCATGAAGGTCATTTGTAGCTGAATTTCTTCGTTACTACGGGAGAATGTCACATTAAATAATAGCAGGGTTTCTTTTGATCTGTGACATAGGCTTTGAAAGGAAAACCAAATGGAATGTTGGGTCAATCGTTAATTCTTCTCATGATGCGAAACTTACACACAAAAGAGTTTTTAAAGGTCCAAAGTCTAGTTGAAGTGTGAATCCTGGAACCCCTACATGTCAAAAGCAGGGAAGGTGGATGAATAAAATGAGGGGCCTATAAAGTTTGGTAACCTAATGAAATGAAAGTAAATCTTAAAAAACAAAACACCTTCCATATTTAAACATTGCAAAATTGGCCAGATGCATTTTTCTTAGAGATGGTGGGTAGGTGTCTTCTTATTGTGAAGCATCAGGAATAGACAACCAGCAGAGGTAGACACTGCACTACACTGCCCCATCGATCTGCTCCAATAAGGCAACTCTTATGTCCCCAATGAGGGTCTGATCCAAAGGTAAAATCCACTCAATGAGTTTTGGGTTAGGCCCTGAATGTCAGCTGATCTCTCATCCTGAATTTACACTCAGGACAGAAAGTTATTTTGTATACGGTGTCTTGCTGTTGAGCTGAATTTCTATTATTGCGTAAAAGTGTGGTAAGATGACTTGCTAACATGATGGGTGTTTCTTTAGGACGGAAATGACAGCATCTGAACTATAAATGGGAAGTGAGCTCTCTCCAGCACCCACATTTTAAAAATGTAACATGGAAATTCTTGTTAAGTCAATAAGTGGCAAACCAAAGGGGGAAATTAATCTGGTGAAACTCAAAGTAGAGTGAGTGAAGTACTGACATTTATAATAGTTGCACTGCAATAAAAAAGGCTGAAGTTAATCCACTCCAAGCCATCTTTAATTTTACTATCCCACTTGACTAGACTCCACAAAACATGTCTGACATATGATTTGTAAACAGTTTATGAAAATGGTCAAACCCCACTAAGTGTGTCAGGTTTAAAGCATTCTGAACTGAAACCAAATCTTGATCCGATGACATGATCACTGGGCCCAGCACTCTCTTCCCCAATAAAAACACCATTTTCCAATTTCAATCTCCTGAAGACAAAACAACACAAGAACAACTATTGTCCTTTAAGAGGAAAGCCATTGTACTACACTCTCCAGAATGCTCCCTAAGTCAACAATAAACTTTTGTCTTCATGATGATGATAAAGTGAATTGATGATATATTATACTGTCATTCTGTCCTTTAGCTGAAAGTTCAACCCCACTAAAATTCCTTTCTTTAGGTGGAGTTAAAAAAAAAAAAGAGGAAAGAAAAGGTGAAGATGAGGCTATTTTGGGAAAGAAATATGTGTTGCATGGCAGCAGCTTGTCAGATCCCCTTTCTCTCCCTCCAAAAACATACTGGTCATAGGATCTGGCTTATACATTTTATATATTTATGAACACTCACCAGTGTAGAGAGTACACAATCAAAACAGTCTGAGTTGTTACTTGGACAGCTGACCCAGCTGCACAGTAGTGGGAACTTTTTACTTTCATGTAGCTGTAAAGGAATGCATAGCCGCAGATGCCCAAATATGAAGGGCAATCATGCTGCCAGAGCCTGCTACTTTCTGGAGATCAAAGGCATTCTAGATTTCTATTGTTTTTCATCTCTGTTGGTATGAACACTGCAATTTTTGTTAGCAAGAAAAATTACCCAAGTGGGCTCACTTTCTATTTTTTATATAGAAGGTTGGGGGGGGGAAATCTTGTGTGATATTGTACTCTTCAATTCCTTTTCTCACAGGCTGTGATATGCATTAGGCACTAACCATGAGAGAAAATCGAAGCAACTCACACAAGGCTCAGTGGTCTAGGAGCACATCTTCGTTTCGTTCATCTTCAGGTTACTTATAAAAATAGGATTTAATCTTACCAATAATAGTAACTCCCCCATTTGCCTGGGAAGTAGTGAATGTACTTCTGCTTTTCAGTCCTCAGTTTTATATTGTTGATTTCTTATTAACCATTTGCATTTCTTGCTGCCCCTCTACACCCTATGGAGGCAATCTCACTCATTTAATACATTTGTGTATTGAAATTATCCCGGTATTGCAACTTTCAGCATCCCATTATGTTATGCAATAACTTCAGCTCTGTGTCTTGTCTGGATACAGCAGGTCCAAATATTTCTGTTCCCAAAATAGAAATGAGGCTCATTTCTTCTTGGAAATCTACATGAGTCTTAAACATGACGTTTTTATACATGTGGGTGACTTTCTCACACGATGCTATCAAAATTTGGAACTATCTTTAAATTCCTCAAAAACTCAAAGTGGCATCTTGAAAATTGTAACCCAGAGAATGTACTTATTAGATTTTTAAAAATCATCCATTAGAAAATACAAAGATGTGAAACATGGGCAATGTTAATGATTGAGGAATTCTAGTTGTCATGGATACATTTAATTAAATACAGAGGAAAAAAAGGGTAGGGAGGCTCTTCAGCAAAGGCAATACCATTAGGTCTCATTGACCAATAGGTTAGTATTAGGCCTACCTAACTCTTAAAGATCCAGCAATATTCATAGACCAGCTGCTGTGTAACTTTTGTTTGTTTCACTTTGTTTTATCTTTATATTTCTCCATACAAGGGTGGGTGTGGCCTCTGTAAACTTGCCAGTTTTACCCAAGATGAACAGATAAGATTACCTTAGTGTCTACAATATTTCTTTGTACTTGTCTATTATATAATGCTGTAGGAAATACCCTGAATATGATAAATATTCAAATTATTTAAGCACAAATACTATTTAGTTATCTGGACAACTGGCACGTTTTTACTTGGTTTTTCACCATAGTGCATTTGGCTGTTGTTTTACAAGAAGAAAACACCCGAAAATGATTGCAAAAAGAGTTACAACCCTATTAAATACAATAGGAAGTTGTTGTTTTAAAAAATATATTTTAAAAGGATAGTTGATGGTGGTTTTTAAGCAAAATGTGAGGTTATAAGATTAAAATAATAAACAGGAGGACAGTTTTATATTTAGAAATATGGATTAGAGATTTCTGCAAGAAACACATATTTTAGCAGGTACTTTCAACATCTTTACTGGAAACCATAATATAAACCTCACTAGATACATTTTTGGCATACATCCACATTTTTCCAAGTAGTAGAGCTTCCAGTAGACAGATGACCTCTGAGAC